GTGCCCCGCGGTGTCCCGGGGTGTCCCGTGGTGGCCCGTGGTGTCCCGTTGAGTGAGATCGATAGTGAGATCGATACTGAGATCAATGTGGTTTCCCGAGGTTTCACGTGACCCGGGGTCGATAGTGAGGTCGATAGTGAGATCGATAGTGAGATCGATAGTGAGATCGATTGAGTCAGATGTTGGTTCCCCCCCCCTCTCCCCCCCCACAACCTCCTTGTCACCCGAAGGGTGGTCGTATAGGAGGTATCGGGAGTTGGGGGGTGATCCCAACCGGGAAATCGTTTCGATTCGTTGGTGTCGTGCGTGGGGGCTAGGCGAAGCTGCGTGGGCGCGCGAGAGGAATGAACCCGCCGTTGCCAGGGCGAAGTGGAGACACATGATTCTCCCCTGCCCTCTTGTCGGTTCGTCCGGCGGTTGTTCGCGGTGTCCCATAGTGTCCCGTGGCGTCCCGTGGTCTCCCGTGGTGTCCCGCCGTTGCTAGGGCGAAGTCAAAACAAATGATTCTCCCCCGCCTGCCCGTCCGTCCGTCCGTCTGGCGGTGGCTCGCGGTGTCCCAAGGTGTCCCGTGATGTCCCGCCGTTGCTAGAGTGAAGTCAAGACAAATGATTATCCCCCGTCTGTCCGTCCGTCCAGCGGTGGCCATCGGTGTCCCGCGGCGTCCCGTGGTGTCCCGTGGTGTCCCGCCGTTGCTAGGGCGAAGTGGAGACAAATGATTCTCCCCATCCGTCCGTCCGTCCGGCGATGTCCCTAGCGGTGTCCCGCGGTGTCCCATGGTGTCCCGTGGTGTCCGCCGTTGCTAGGGCGAAGTCAAGACAAATGATTGATTCTCCCCCGCCCGCCCGTCCGTCCGTCCGTCCGGCGGTGGCTCGCGGTGTCCCAAGGTGTCCCGTGGTGTCCCGTGGTGTCCCGTGGTGTCCTGTTGAGTGAGATCGATAGTGAGATCGATAGTTGGATCGATCGTGAGATGAATAGTGAGATCAAGGAGGTGCCCCGAGGTGTCCCAAGGTGTCCACTGGTGTCTCGTTGAGTGAGATCGACAGTGAGATCGATACTGAGATCGTTGTGGTGTCCCGTGGTGGCCCCTGGTGTCCCGTGGTGTCCTCTTGAGTGAGATCGATAGTGAGATCGATAGTGAGATCGACAGGTGTCCCGTGGTGTCCCGTGGTGTCCCTTGGTGTCCCGTTGAGTGAGATCGATAGTGAGATCGATAGTGAGATCGAGAGGTGTCCCGCGGTGTCCTTTGGTACCCCGCGGTGTCACATGGTGTCCTACGGTGTCCCTCGGAGTGAGATCGATAGTGGGATCGACAAGTGTCCCGTGGTGTCCCGTTGAGTGAGATCGATAGTGAGATCGATTGAGCCAGATGTTGGTTCCCCCCTCTCCCCCCCCCACAACCTCCTTATTACCCGAAGGGTCGTCGTACATATATATATATATATAGATGTATGTATGTATGTATGTATGTATGTACGTACGTACGTACGTACGTACGTATGTATGTATGTATGTATGTATGTATGTATGCATGCATGTATGTATGTATGTATGTATGTGTATACATCGGAGGTTGGGGGGTGAGATCGCAGTGGAACGGAGACCCCCAACCAGGACATCGTTTCGATTCGTTGGTGTCGTGCGTGCGGGCTAGGCGAAGCTGCGTGGGCGCGCGAGAGGAATGAACCCGCCGTTGCCAGGGCGAAGTGGAGACAAATGATTCTCCCCTGCCCTCCCGTCGGTTCGTCCGGCGGTGGTTCGCGGTGTCCCGCAGTGTCCCGTGGTGTCCCGTTGTGTCCCGCCCCGCCGTTGCTAGGGCGAAGTCAAGACAAATGATTCTCCCCCGCCCGCCCGTCCGTCCGTCAGTCTGGCGGTGGCTCGCGGTGTCCCAAGGTGTCCCAAGGTGTCCCAAGGTGTCCCGTGGTGTCTCGTGGTGTCCGGCTGAGAGAGAGATCGATACTGAGATCGATACTGAGATCGATATTGAGATCGATACTGAGATCGATATTGAGATCGATGTGGTGCCGCGAGTTGTCCCGTGGTGTCCCGTAGTGTCCCAAAAAGTGCGATCGGTAGTGAGATCGACAGGTGTCCCGTGGTGTCCCGTGGTGTCCCGTTGAGTGAGATCGATAGTGAGATCGATATTGAGATCGATAGTGAGACCGATACTGAGATCAATGTGGTGCCCCGAGGTGTCCCGTGGTGTCCCAAAAAGTGAGATCGATCGTGAGATCGATAGTGAGATCGAAAGGTGTCCCGTGGTGTCCTGTGGTGGCCCGTTGAGTGAGATCGATAGTGAGATCGATACTGAGATCAATGTGGTTTCCCGAGGTTTCACGTGACCCGTGTGTCCTGTGGTGTCATATGGTGTGCCGTTGAGTGAGATCGATAGTGAGTCCGATAGTGAGATCGAGAGTTGTCCCGCGGTGTCCCGTGGTGTCCCGTGGTGTCCAGTGGTGTCCCGTTGAGTGAGATCGATAGTGAGATCGATAGTGGGATCGATACTGAGATCGATACTGAGATCGTTGTGGTGTCCCGTGGTGGCCCGTGGTGTCCCGTGGTGTCCCGTTGAGTGAGATCGATCGTGAGATCGATAGTGAGGTCGACAGGTGTCCCGTGGTGTCACGTGGTGTCCCCTTGAGTGAGCTCGACAGTGAGATCGATAGTGAGATCGATGAGGTGCCCCGTGGTGTCCCAAAAAGTGAGATCGATTGTGAAGTTTCGACAGGTGTCCCGTGGTGTCCCGTGGTGTCCCGTTGAGTGAGATCGATATTGAGATCGATACTGAGATCGATGTGGTGTCCCGAGGTGTCCCGTGGTTTCCTATGGTGTCCCGTTGAGTGAGATCGATCGTGAGATCGATAGTGAGACCGATAGTGAGATCGAGAGGTGTCCCGCGGTGTCCCGTGGTGTCCCGTGGTGTCCCGTCGAGTGAGATCGATATTGAGATCGATATTGAGATCGATACTGAGATCGATACTGCGATCGACAACTGTCCAGTGGTGTCCCGTGGTGTCCCGTGGTGTCCCGTTGAGTGAGATCGATAGTGAGATCGATCTAGTCAGATGTTGGCTCCATCCCCTCTCCCGCCCCCACAACCTCCGTATCACCCGAAGGGTGGTCGTATAGGTATACAAGTATGTGTATAAGCATCTGGATGTGTAAAACTTATGCATGTATGCAACAACATGTATCGTGTTCGGCCTTTTGCGCCAATGCGTCTCAACCCTGACTCGGCTTCACGTAGATCCAGCGGGTGTCGTTTCCCGCCTGCGGGTGCATGTTCACCACCATAACCACGACCAGGCCGCGATCGGGGGAGCCGGTCTTGTACACGAGACCTCGTCGCGAGATCGTGGACATCTGCAGCCTCAGGAAGTCGTACTCAGATCGCTGCTCCGACTTTCGAGTGTTGGCGTCGTCCTCGGATCCGGCCAGCGGTTAGTTGAGCGCCCGGCCGAGGACGCCGATGTCGTTGATGAAGGAGGCGAAGAGCAGCCATCGGCATTTCGTGGTGCCAATGCCCTGGGCGCGCGCCCCGCGCCGAGCTCCCACGCTGTTGGGACGAGAAGAGCGCGCTTGGCTCAACGGGCATGGAGGCCTTGCTTGAGCCACAAAAGGCTTGGCCGACACCGAAAGATAGCAGAGTGCAAGCAAACTACCCCCCACGGGCATATCCCATCCCCGAAACGCAGCCAATCAAGGGACAGCCCTTGGAACGCGAAGTGGCAGAACTACCAAGTCAAGGGAAGTGCCCGTTTTGAACAGGGGGGCCCTCCATAGGTGCAGCATTTCCTTGTGTTTACGCTTCGTGCAGTAGATCCTGGGGAAGTCTGAAGCGAGAGCCCAATTTTGAACATGACCGCCCTCTGTCGTTGCAGCTGGGGCACGGTTTGGCAGTTTGGGGTCGAGATATTGAGGAAGTCTCAAGCGAGAGCTCCATTTGGATTACGGGCCGCCCTCCGCCCTTGTGGCTCTTTCGCAAGTTTACAATTCGTTTGAACCTTTGTTATGAGTCCTAAAACAATAGCCCCAACTCGTTCAAATGAACCGCCCTCAATCATGTTTTCTGTTAGTAGGTTTCGTGTCAAATTTGCGTTGCGATAATGCGAGAGCCACATTTTGAAAATTATCCTGGCGAAGGAATCAACTATACGCAGTCATGAATCCAGTCGTTTTGAGTGTCGCCTTCGGTGAGCTCCATATGAAGCCACGAGTCGTGTGAGGGGTGCTGCTACATGAAGGCGGCGCCGCGGGGCCTTCGGTGGAGCCGAATGGAGCCTTCGGTGGAGCCCCGTATGGGCCACGAAACGCGTGAGGGGTGCGCCAAAGCCATGCGGACCCTGCAGCTGGGGCCTGCGGTGTGGCTCCTTATGGGGCCACGAAACGAGTGAGGGGTGTGCCGAATCGGGGGCGGGGGCGCCATGCTGACCCTGCCTCAGGGGCCTCGGTGGAGCTCCCTATGGGGCCACGAATCGTGTGAGGGGTGCACGGAAATCGGTGGGGGGGGGCATGCGGACTGTGCCACTGGGACCTTCGGTGGAGCGGTGGAGCTCCGTATGGGCCTACGACGCGCGTGAGGTGTTTGCCGAACTGGTTGACATGCGGAGGGCAGAGGCAGGGATGGATGGATGGAGGAGGGGGAAGAGTGCGGGAGGATGTGAGACGCGGGGCGCTGTCTCTGTAAATTGAGGGCCCAACCACACAAGACGGTTGGGAACAATTCGGCCTTCATCCGTGCAGTTCTTGGGGATTGAACGTCTCGGGTTCATAAGTGCAGAGGACGTCTGAGGCGAAAAGCCTGGACCGCTGGAGTTTGACCAGGAGGTTGTTCTCATGACGAGGGACGGATGAATCAACGGAGGGCAATCATCAGAATTGCTACGAACGAATCCAGACATGAGGGTCAAGCATTAGGGCCAGTGAGAGGGATAGAGCAGGTCACCGCCGGGCAAAGCGAAGCGTGATGAGGCAAGGACGACGCACATGGCCGTTTTCACCTCAGTGGGTTCCTCCACCTTTCCTTCCTCCTCTTTTTTCTTTTCCCACTGCCACCCGCCATCCGCCAGACAGGAAGCCCCCCACGAAAGCACATGTCTGGAGCGCCCGCTGGTGATCTCGAGGATAGCGGAGAGTTCGAGCAGAGCCAGTCTGAGCCACCGCCCGCCCAGCGCACCGCCGGCTCCTACGAGGACGCCTTCGAAGGCGAGGCCACGGAGCCCGTGTCCGAGGGCGGCGCCGCGGGGCCCGACCGCACGTACTCCGAGGGGTTCGAGGACGACGAGAGCGGTGACGCCGCCGCGAACGCGGCCAGGTCGACCCCACCCGCCGCCACTAGAGCCGAGCCTGGGGAGCCCGCCGCTGGGGGGGGCGACGTCGCCGCGCCCACCCCGCCGCTTGCCGCAGGGCCCGAGACGGCCACGGCCGAGGAGCCCGGTGAGCTGCAGCCCCCAGCCAGCACGCCGGCCGCAGGGGCTCCCCCTGCGGAGGCGCCCGCGACGGAGTTCGGGCGTTGCGAAAAAGGGGGCGACTCGTTGGGGGGAGGGTGGAAGGTGAACCTGTTGTACCCGAAGGGGGCCCTAGGGGGACCCCAGGGGCCCAAAAGGAGCACGAAAGGTGCACGTTTCTCCCCCCCCCCCCATGTATCGCCCCCCATTGCGCAACGCCCAAGGAGCCGTCCCCGCGAGAAGCAACGCCACCGGCCGAAGCGGACCCGGCCGAAGCCACTGCCGAGCTGCCTGGCACCACGCCAGAGCCCGCCACGGCCGAGGCGAAGGAGGCGCCCGCTGCAGAGGAGGCGCTTTCGGCGGAGGTTGTGCCAGCGGCGACCGCGGACGAAGACACTCAGGGGAGCACGCCACCTCCCAAGGAGGCCAGCGGAGACCCCGAGCAGGACGACGGGGAGGACACGAATCAGCTCCTGGCAGAGGCGGAGAACATGCTGCAGACCAGCCCGGTCGCCAAGGACGCCACCGCGACTGGGAGCCCCATAACGCCACGAACTGAGGGGGCGAGGCAGCTGAAACAGCCGAAACGCAAGGATGATTGCAGCATGTCGCGAAGTGCCTCTGGGCCATCAGTTGTTTTCGGAGACTTCGCGGACATCAAGAGGAGAACAGAGGCATTCGGTGGCATGTCTACGGAGGGGGTTAAGAAAGGACAGACTTACGCCACGCACATCGCTGGGTTTAAGTCCTCTCCTAAATTCACCATGACTGGGCGCGACAAGAATCCGTCCTTCCTCCGCAGCAATTCCGTACCTGCGCCAGGCGCCTATGAGGCGAATGGCAGCGAAAGATCCAAGTACACCAACCAGCCCAATTTCACATTCGGTGGAGAGAAGCGTTTCGGTGCGGAGAAGAATCCCATGAAACGCCAGCCCGGTCCAGGCCAGTACAGTCCGAAGATATCGGTGGAGACCGCTCCAAAGATTGGCTTCGGTAGCTCCATGCGGCTCAAGGGCGCCATGATCGCGCAGTCCAACCCAGGCCCAGGCGCGTACGAGACCCGCAGTTGTTTGGGGGAGGGGCTGAACTACACGGCGCGCGGGCGCATCCCGGTGCACTACATGGCCGCGAAGTCGTTGCCAGGGCCCGGGGCCTACAACCCGACGGTGCTGAACATTGGCATGTCTGGCCCGAGAACAGGATTCGGCACGTCGCGGAGGAACCAGCATGGCGTTCTTCGCGAACTTGGCCCTGGCCCGGGCTCCTACGAGCTCCAGAACTTGAAGACCCTCGGCACCGAGGGGCCGAAGACATCCATGACTTCGCGCCGGCGGCAGCACGACATCAACAGCTACCTGACGCCCGGTCCAGGCTCCTATAACTCACACGCCACTTGCTTCGGCGGCCCCTGAGTTAACGAGTGGCGGTCGAACCTGCCACGCGCGACGTTTATCCCGTGAGCTGACTGCCAAAATCGTTCCCGCTCTCCTCATCGTCGTCGTATTCGTTATCCGTTGCGCCTCTTCGCCCAGGTTTCACGCCTCTCGCGGTCGTGCTTCAAAATGAGGTGCTTGCGGGTCTGTCGGCCCATCAACGTCATCTTCGGGCTGCTAGAGCCAGCGCTCAGGGGGATCGGCCAGACCTGGGGCTCCCGACGGCCCCGAAACTTCCACATTCTTTGCTTTCGCCGCTCCGAATACAGCACACGTCGAAAATTCACTCCCGCGTTCACATCATGGCGCAAGTTCGAATACCCCGAATTCTTGCTTTGCGCACAGCAGACGAGGTGCAACTGATGGGGTCAACGTCCATGAGGGAACAGCTTCTGGGGTGCAATGTGATGCGGTGCGACGTTTGGGAAGCAGCTTTTGGGTTGCACCTAAGAAGGGCTGTGCAGCCCATGTATTGCACCTTGTCTGGTGCGAAATATGAGCGTGACCTTGTGGAAAGGACGCTATGTATTGAACCCTGTGTGTAGAACTCTACGTGCGGAACCTTATGAGGTGTGGATAGCTCTTTTTAATACGTGGAACCTTTGGAGGTGCGGAACCTTGCGTATGGCACTGCATGTACGTGTGTGAACCTCAGCGGAAACGATCGGTTCAACCGTCTTGGGGCCGTCTGGGCGGGTCTTGGAATCATCGTGGAGATTTCTAGAGGCGGTCTTTGGCCGTCTCAGCGGGCTGGGCCGTCTTGAGACCGTGTTGGGACTGCCGAACGAGCAGGAACGCGGGGCGGACGCGGCGGAGGGAGGGGGGAAGGGATAAGGGGGGGGGGGCAAGCCAAGTGCGCTCGCGCCTCATCTGACATCCTGTCCCTGCCTCCCATCCCTTCCCATGCCGCTGATTCTTCATTACCCGCGGACGCGTGTCATAGCTTGCCTGCAAGTCCACAGAAAGACCACTTCGTATTATGCGCAATTGGACAACTGGCAGGGCCTTCGGTGGAGCTTCGGCGGCGTTCCCTATGGGGTCACGGGACGTGTGAAGGGTGTGCCGAACCGAGTACGGGTACGCCATGCGGACCCTGCCGCTCGGGCCTGCGGTGGAGCTCCCTATGGAACCACGAAGCGCGTGAGGGGTGCGCCCCCGATCGGGTGCGGCCCTGTCGCTGGGGCCTTCGGTGGAGCTCCCTATGGGGCCGCGAAACGTGTGAGGGGTCTGCCGGATCGGGTGCGGGTGCGCTGCGCGGACCTTGCCAGTGGAGCTTTCGGTGGAGCTCCTTCTGGGGCCCCGAAATGTGTGAGGGCTGTGCCGAATCGGGTGCGGGTGCGCCATGCGGACCTTGCCGCTGGGGCCTTCGGTGGAGCCCCGTATGGGGTCACGACACGTGTACGGGGTGTGCCGACTGGGGGACGGGTACGCCATGCGGACCCTGCCGCTGGGGCCTTCGGTGGAGCTCCCTATGGGGCCGCGTGTGAGGGGTGTGCTGAATCGGGTGTTGGTACGCCATGCGGACCCTGCCGCTGGGGCCTGCGGTGGAGCCCCCTATGCGGCCACGAACCGTGTGAGGGGTGTGCCGGATCGGGTGCGGGTACGCCATGCGGACCCTGTCGCTGGGGCCTTCGGTGGAGCTCCCTATGGGGCCACGGAACGTGTGAGGGGTGTGCCACTCGGGTGAGGGTACGCATCATGGTGATGAGATGAGGGCACATGCAAGGCAGAAGCAGGGATTGGAGGAGGGAGGATGGGGAAGGAGGAAGGAATGAAAGCGGGGTGCTGTCTTTTCAAAACGAGGACCCAACACCACAGGATGGTTGGGAACAATTTTTGAAGTCATATGTGGACGTTATCCTGGCGAAGGGCTCAACCATATGAAGCTGCGGGTGCCGCGAGGCAAGTAAAAGCAGGGGGAAGAAGTGAGGGGTGTGCCAACATGGGGCGGGTGCGCCATGCGGACACTGCCACTCGGGCCTTTGATGGAGCTCTTTATGGGACCACGACATGTGTGAGGGATGAGCCAACTCGGATGCGGGCACGCCAAGCGGACCCTGCCGCTGGAGCTTTCGGTGGAGCTTGTTACCTATGACCTATGAGGCCCCGGAGTGTGCTGAATCGGGTGCGGGTACGCCATGCGGACGTGCGACTGAGGGCTTCGTTCTTCGGTGGAGTTCCTCTCGGGGCCGCGAAACGTGTGAGGTGTGCGCTGGATCGGGTGCGGGTACAACATGCGGACCCTGCCGCTGAGGCCTTCGGTGGAGCCCCATATGGGGCCATGAAGCGTGTGAGGGGTGTGTCGGATCGGGTGCAGGTACGCCATGCGGACCTTGCCGCTGGGGCCTTCGGTGGAGCCCCCTCATGGGGCCACGACACGTGTGAGGGGTGTGCCGAACGGGGGACGGGTACGCCATGCGGATTCTGCCGCTGGGGCCTTCGGCGGAGCTCCCTATGGGGCCCCGTATGTGGGGTGTGCTGAATCGTGTGCGGGTGCGCCATGCGGACCCTGCCGCTGGGACCTTCGATGGAGCCGTATGGGCCTTCGGTGGCTCCGTATGGGGCCAGGGTGTACTGGATCGGGTGCGGGCACGCCATGTGGACCCTGCCGCTGGGGCTTTCGGTGGAGTTTGTCGGAGGTTGTGGGTGAGATCGCAGTGGATCGGAGACCCCCAACCGGGAAATCGTTTCGTTTCGTTTCGTTCGTGTCGTGCGGGCGGGCGAGGCGAAGCTGCGTGGGCGCGCGAGAGGAATGAACCCGCCTTTGCTAGGGCAAAGTCAACACAAATGATTCTCCCCCGTCCGTCCGTCCGTCCGGCGGTGGCCCTAGCGGTGTCCCGCGGTGTCCCGTGGTGTCCCGTGGTGTCCGCCGTTGCTAGGGCGAAATCAAGACAAATGATTCTCCCCCGCCCGTCCGTCCGTCTGGCGGTGGCTCGCGGTGTCCCGCGGTGTCCCGTGGTGTCCCGTGGTATCCGCCGTTGCCAGGGAAAAGTCAAGACAAATGATTCTCCCCCGCCCGCCCGTCCGTCCGTCCGTCCGTTCGGCGGTGGATCGCGGTGTCCCGTGGTGTCCCGTGGTGTCCCGTTGAGTGAGATCGATATTGAGATCGATAGTGAGATCGATAGTGAGATCGATACTGGGATCGATACGTTGCCCTGGGTGTCCCGTGGTGTCCCAAAAAGTGAGATCGATAGTTAGATCGATAGTGAGATCGAAAGGTGTCCCGTGGTGTTCCGTGGTGTCCCGTCGAGTGAGATCGATAGTGAGATCGATAGTGAGATCGATAGTGAGATCGATAATGAGATCGATGTGGTGTCCCGAGGTGTCCCGTGGTGTCCCGTGGTGTCCCGTTGAGTGAAATCGATCGTGAGATTGCTAGTGAGACCGATAGTGAGATCGAGAGGTGTCCCGCGGTGTCCCGTGGTGTCCCGTGGTGGCCCGTTGTGTTACGTGGTGTCCCGTCGAGTGAGATCGATAGTGAGATCGACAAGTGTCCCGTGGTGTCCTGTGGTGTCCTGTGGTGTCCCGTGGTGTCCCGTTGAGTGAGATCGATAGTGAGATCGATTGAGTCAGATGTTGGTTCCCCCCCCTCTCCCCCCCCACAACCTCCTTATCACCCGAAGGGGGCTCGTATAGGTAACTTATGGGGCCCCGAAACGTGTGTGGGATGTATGTACTGAACCGGGCGCGGGTACGCCATGCCGGTGGAGTTCCCTTCGGGGCCGGGCCGCGAAACGTGTGAGTGATGTGCTGGATCGGGTGCGGGTACGCCATGCGGACCCTGCCGCTGGGGCCTTCGGTGGAGCCCCATATGGGGCCATGAAGCGTGTGAGGGGTGTGCTGCGTGTGCGAGCACGCCATGCGGACCCTGTCGCTGTGGCCTTCTGTCGAACCCCCATATCGACTACACGTAAGAGTGACCCTTCGCCAGAGTGACCTTTGGTGCGCGCTCACTGGGATCCTCCGATCGCACCGCTCGGTGCGATAGTAGCGTCTTGCGCGCTTGTGTTTGGCCTCCTCGCGCCCCCCAAAAAGCCGCGCACCAAAGGTCACTCTTGCCCAGGGTCACCCTTACGTGCAGCCGACCGTATGGGGCCCGATCGGGTGTGGGTACGCCATGCGGACCCTGGTGGGGCCTTCGGTGGAGCTCCACATGTGACCACGAAACGTGTGAGGGGTGTGCCGAATCGGGTGCGGGCGCGCAAGATCGTGATGAGATGAGGGCATATGCAGGGCAGAAACAGGGATGGGAGGAGGGAGGAGAGAGAGGAGGAAGGAAAGGAGGGAACGCGCGGCGCTGTCTCTTCAAAATGAGGACCCAGCACCACAGGATGGTTGGGAAAGACAGCCGGAGGGGCGGGAGATCTTCCGCACAACTTCAGGGGAGGAGGTGGAGTACTAGTCATATTGTTTCATGATGGAGCGCGTCTCATTGTTTGCGCAGTGCTGTCGGGACGTGTGTTTGCGTGGTGTTTTGTCATGCACTCTCGGTGTGGCGTGGCGTCCATTGTAGTTCAGCGGCGGGATTCGTCGCGGGCGTTTCGTAGTGGCGTCGCGCATCAGCGGCGAGTCCTCGCGTGGGGATTCTGCACATTGTCATGGCATAGTTTGCGTTTTTTCGGCATCGTGCAACGCGCTTGTGCGCGGGCTGTCTCGTCTGTGGGCGGCGGGCATTTCCCTGCAGCCTGCTCCCGCAGCGCGCCCGCGGGAAGAAGTCTTGAGGACGGCGCCGCTCCCCCGCGCCCAGACTTTTCGGGAGATTTGTTTTGCGCGGAGGCTTGGAACCGATAAGCGCCTGCGGCTTGAGGCAGCCACCCCGCGAGTGCGGTGGCGGCTGCCAGGAGGCGCGACGCGCTTCTTCGATTCTCGCAGGCCTCTTCCGACAGGGGGCCTCGCTGCCAAGGAGTCCCATGACTCCCGGCTGATCATTTATTTGGGTGGCCTCGACTCCGACGGGGCCGCGGCGAGGGCGGGGGCCGACGGCTCGGACGATGGGCGCAGCCACGGGCTTGCAAATGCGGCGGCGGCGGTCGTCGCGACCCTCCCGTCGACCTCGACGCGGCGCCGCCCGAGGAGGGGCGAGTCCCGTACCCTCCGATGCTTCTCGGCCGATGTGGGTTGGGAATTTTCGCGCGAGCACGCGACAATGGACCTCGCGGCCCCCAAGAGGCCGAGTTCGACTCGGACTGCGAGGAGTCCCCGTCCAGCGCGTCAGCCTGCTTCACGGCGGCGCCCCTGGCGAATCCGACGCACGTAGCTCACCTCTTTGGCGCAGCAGGCAAGCCTGGCGCAGTCTGGCGCACCTACAGTACCACACTCGGCGCCCTGTCCAGACCAGACGCGCCTGATGCACCCGGCGCTCTGGGCGAGCCTGCCACCTGGCGCACCTGGCAGCATGCGCACCTGGCGGACTTGGTGCATTCGGCAAACGTGCCCCTCCTGTTACACCTGCCTGACCTGGCGCACTTGACGCACCTAGTACCGACCATCAGGTGCAATTGATGTTCTGGGAGGGCAGGCGCGTGTGAACGCAATAATTAGCTTATAGCGCCCGTCTGGGCAATCAGATGTTCACCCTCCCCCCCCCCGAGCTCGCCCTCACTATTCCGCGCGGCCGTACCGTCACCCTCATACTCTTTTGTTCGTCTTCACCTTCGCGCTCACTGTCACCTTCATCCCTCCCACTTATGCACCTTCTGCCTGGCGTCCTCATCCTCACTCTCGCAATCTCCGTTTCCATCCTTGGCCTCGCATTTGCCTTCCCCTCCTTTCCTCTCCCCCTCCCTTCGCCTCCTCCTCCTCCTCCTCCTCCTCCTCCTCCTCCCTCCTTTTCCTCATCCCTCCTTTCCCTCCTGGAAGCCATCTGGGCTCCGGCCGAGCAGCATTGCGAGCAGAGGAGGAGCAACCTCGCCGCTCACGACACCAGGTCTGGGGGAGGGCAGGGCGGACCTGGCTCACGGGGCAGCACGAGCAAACGATTTGTCGATCCAGCCGGACTGCAAAGATTTCGAAGGCTCTCTAGGAGGTCAGGATGGGATTTCGCTTTCATGGGGGCTAAATCGACGGTTCTGGCACGATGAGAAATGTTGGGGTTCGGCGCTGGAGCCCAGGGTCACCTAATCCAAGTTGGTGTTGGGCCCAGGCTCGGGCATATCATTGCACACGACACAAGTAAACGCGGAGATCTGTAAGATTCCTTCCCTGTCTGCATAGGTGCACAGGTCGCATTGCGCCACCCCTGCGCTTGCCGTGTATAAGAAAGGCCCGCGGCCAGTTCCACCGACCCTTAAGAGGGCCACAGGTGGTCCAAGTTGGTCCACGATGCGCCCAAACCGGCCCAAGTTGGCCGTATTGGTTTGGCGGGCTTCACGTTGCGGGCGGGCCCTGAGGCTGCCACAGTTGCTTTGCAATCTCCCGAGAAACCTCCAGGTACTCATGCGTGCGGGGATCCCCTTTGAATCATCCTGCGGGGAATTTCTTTCGGGATTCCCCAGGTCTTATTCGCGGGCCCCCCCCGAGGGACCACCCTCCATGAATGGGGTTGGAGAGAAGGATGGAGCTTCTCTAGTGAAGTCGTCTGTGGGGTGGAATGACGCATTGCCAGTGGTATGAAGCTGCAACTTCACGCCAGCCACGGCGTCGATGGAGATCACCTCGTATGTGTTATCGCCCGAGGTGTCGTTCGCCAAGGCGACTTTGGCGCCAACGTCAAACCCTTTGTCGCTGAGTTTGTCCACTTGGTTCGACCACTTGCCCGAAGCGGTGAACTCTTTCACCTCTGAGCTGCGCCCTTGCGTTGTCGCGGCTTTGGGCGCGCGCTCGGTCTGACTCCATGGGCTAGCAACTGATCTGCGAACGTGCGCTGCCAACGCAGCGGTGAAGCTGACCCCGATACCATTCAGCGTCTTGCAATTGCCCAAGCGCTCATCGGGCTTGCTGAACACGAAATGAACTACGCGAGCGTCAGTCAATCCCACGATGGTGCCGTAGGCGACCGCGTCTGCCGTGATGCTTTGATCTTTTGCGATCTGTCGCACTTCCTGAAGAGACTCATCAGCCACCAGTGCAATAGTAGACATCCCATCGCTCGACAAGGCGGTCACGTCGCCTGGCTTCAAGAGCAGCTGATTGCCCCCCCTCGCGAACTTACCCGTCGCGCATGTCATCGCCTTCGCGCATGCGAGCTTGAACGTCACCGCGCCCCCCTCGTGCTTGATCTGCGCGTCGGCGAGAGACTTCGTCAAGGAACCCGTGGCCACGCCCTGGGAGGCCAGCTGTCGCGAGAAGTCGCGAAGCTCGTTCAGGAAGATCGGGTTGGCGAGGCCGCCAGACAACTCCTTCACATATTTTACTAACCCATCGATCTCCCCAGGAAAGAGAGAGCCCCTGCGAGTAGCCTCGCGGATGACATTGTCCCAATCGATGGTGCCGTCTGCATGGTTGCATGGTGGCGGTTCGCAATAACTGCGATTTTGAACATCAGATTCATGCGACTCTCGCGCCTCGCAATCTGCTGACCAGCATTGGTAGCTTCTTGCGCCAGGTTGCTGGCCCATGGGAATTGCTTGGCAAACTCATGTTGGAACGCCTTCCATCCGATCCTCGTCGCAAGCTTTTTCGTAATCGGGCTGCATCTCCCGCAATCTCGCCAATGTCAACTTACCATCATGCGATATTTTGTCAACTCGTTCTGGCATTGACGTGGGCGCGGGAACTTCTGCATTGAAGCAGCGCAAACCCATGCTCGTGCGCCCGCAAGTATAGATTGCGAACTTGGCATCACAATCATAGCGAGGTAACGGGCCTGCAGAACCCTGCATGATTTTGAACTTGAACGCCTTGATCTTCTCATTCTCAGATGTGCCCACTGGTGGAAGTTCCATGCAAGCTGGATTCATGTGGGCAGAATTCCCGAAACTATTCCTGAATATCTTCACGATGAAATGCAACACCTCGCTCGGGACAATACCATCCCCATACCGATTCTCCGTGCACAAACATATATATTGAATGTATATTCTCCACCCTGACGCCCTGAGGCAATCGATGTTCCTGGCGATCCCACAGACATCCTCAAACAATGAAACCACAGGCGCATCTGGCTGCAAATACGCTTGCTTGATTGACACCATCTCACCACTGACATTCGTTATTTGCTTTTCTCGGGAAACGTTCATCGCGCCGTGTGGAAGAATCCTAGCCCAAACGGCTTGAGCCCAAACTCTACGGATATGCAAAAACACGCAACAGAGGATTGCATCTTCGAGATGCTATGTCGCATTTGCAACGTACCGCATTCTTGCAACGCTCGAGACAAGCTTCTGACTGCGTTCGCACGCAAGCCTGGATCATAATTTATATGCATGGCCAAGAAAATCCCAACAAATGCTTGCGTTTCTGAACGCAACATTCAAGGAACATGCAACGCAACAGCCTGATTTCCAAGTAAGCATGTAAAATTTAGCGAACTTGACTTGTAATTTTGCTAACTCAAGCTGTCTACCTCCAACTGCACTACCCGAGTTAGCCGACTTAGTAATGTTATTAATGTTTATACCAGACTTATAACATGGTTACGACTAATTTATCCGTAAGGGCTTCGCCCCTTGCCGCCGGCCCCCTCTCTCGGAGAATGGGCCATGGAAGAGCTAAGTCATGAGATCTTGGCGCTGTCTTGAAGCAGTATCGAAACTTCATGCGAAGCCGATTCGCAATCAGCAAAACCAACTGATCACAAGAGGGGTTACCACACCTGGCGATTGGTAAGACGTGTATGGTTTACGGGCTTGGTTACCACACCTTGCGATTAAAGGGCCGAGGGAGTTCTCGCAGTTTGGGTTACCACGCCTTGCGATGGATGTGCGTGAAGGGTGGCACCGAATTTCAGAAATGTGGCAAATCCCCTGTGTTTTTGGACCCTGACCCCGCGGATCTGCGTGAGGGGTGGCACCGAATTTCAGAAATGTGGCAAATCCCATGTGTTTTTGGACCCTGACCCCGCGGATCTGCGTGAGGGGTGGCACCGAATTTCAGAAATGTGGCAAATCCCATGTGTTTTTGGACCCTGACCCCGCGGATCTGCGTGAGGGGTGGCACCGAATTTCAGAAATGTGGCAAATCCCATGTGTTTTTGGACCCTGACCCCGCGGATCTGCGTGAGGGGTGGCACCGAATTTCAGAAATGTGGCAAATCCCATGTGTTTTTGGACCCTGACCCCGCGGATCTGCGTGAGGGGTGGCACCGAATTTCAGAAATGTGGCAAATCCCCTGTGTTTTTGGACCCTGACCCCGCGGATCTGCGTGAGGGGTGGCACCGAATTTCAGAAATGTGGCAAATCCCATGTGTTTTTGGACCCTGACCCCGCGGATCTGCGTGAGGGGTGGCACCGAATTTCAGAAATGTGGCAAATCCCATGTGTTTTTGGACCCTGACCCCGCGGATCTGCGTGAGGGGTGTAGATTTCGAGCCCCCCCAGCAATTCAGACACCGCGCCCAGGGGGTGCTAAAAATCTGGTTTGGGCCTCCCCCCCCCTCGCGCGGTCAATCAACTAGTTACAGTAACCAGCAATAAGCAGAACTGTAACACTGGAAACTACAAGCTACAACTGGTACAGGAAACTGCGAATCCCGCTCCTCGCAGCCTGGTGGCCTCACAAGGGGGCCGGCGGATAACGTACTTACAACTGAAGCTAACAATTAGTAAGACCGAAGGCCTTCAGGTGGCCAGTTCGGTTCGAATCGGCCGGTTCAGTTTCAGCCGGTCCGGTTTGGGCTCGGTTTGGGCGGTTCGGTTGGAGGGGGCGCCGGTTCACGGTTATCAGTTCTGTTCAGACCCTTCCTGCCTTGCGGGTTTCGGTCCTCGTTGCGGAGCCAAGTGGGTGATGCTCGCGCCGTTTGTGGCATGGCCAGACCCCAGGCTTGGAATGGGCACATCCGATGTTTTCCCGACCAGGGGTGTGGTCGCCCGTCCCGGGCCCAGGATGGGCATGGCCAGGATCGACGTCCCAGCATGCACTTGGCATTCTCCTAAGAGTGGTACTGCGTCTCAGGCGTCCTGGTCTGCTCTCGCGGGGCGGTAGGGCACCTGGGGTCCCCGCTCGTGGACCGCGGACCGATGGCCGCCGAAGTTGCAGAGATGCAGAGTCCAAGGCCCATGCAAGTAGCACCGCTGATTATACCGGGAAGGCTTCTGCTCATGCAGGGTTGACCAGGCTTTCTCCCCCAGCAAAGCGCGCTTGTGGCAAGCGAGTTCTCGCAGCTTCCATATTTTAGGGCCCTCTTCTCTTGGAAACGTTCGGTCTGTCTCTCCCTTCCCCGTCCACATCGGGTTCCAGCCCTTCTCCAACTCCTCCCCCCTCGCCCATGCAGCCAGGATGCCCGAGTCGGATGGCGGCGCCGCCCCTGGTCGCGCAGCTGCCACATCCGTTGGTGTTTGGGGGGGTCGGCTTTCAGTAATGAGTGAAAGAGAACACGTCGCCCGTGATGTTGATACACGTACGAATACCGATCGAAGACGCCTGTGGCGAATCACTGCCACCCCCTGCATTTTGGAATCGCCCATGTGGCCGAACGTCGTGGCCAGAGCTCTGCCAAGCTGTTGGACCATGTGTTCCCCCAGTCGTTGTGGAAACCCTTCGGGTAATACGCGGGGGAGAAACAAGAAGTGGAGGAGAGGGAGGAACAATAGAGAGGAGGAGGAGGAGGAGGAGGAGCAGGAGGAGGCGGCGGAGGAGGAGGATGAGGAGGAGGAGGAAAAGGAGGACGCCTCTTGGAAGCCTCTTGGGGCAATTTTGGGGGTCTTCTCGGAGCTTCCTGGGGGCCTCTTGGAGGCCCCTTGGGAGACTCCTGGGGGCCTCTTGGGGGCCTTTGCGAGCTTCCTGGGGGCTTCTTTGGCATTATTAGAGCGTTCCTGGCACGTCTGACGCCGTCGGAAGCAGTCTTAGATGCCTCTCTGAATTGGAGTGGGGCTCTTTTTGGATGTTTCAGGGCCGTCTTGAAGGCCATGTTGGGCGTCTCGGAAACCTATTGGGCCGTCATGGGGCCCTCTTGGGGCCGTCTTGGAGGCTTGTTGGGCCGGTCGCGAAGTTATCTTAGAGGCTTTTGGGGCCATTTTGGGGCGATCGTGGGGACCTCTTGGGCCGTCTGGGGCCGTCGGAAGGCTGAAAAGGAGCAAATGCCACAACCCTTCGAAGACCGAAAGAAAATACATGATTTGGCCTCTTCGGGCCCTCCTGGAGGACCTTGGAGGCCTCTTCGGTCCTCTTGGATACCTCTTGGAGGCATCTTGGACTCTCTTGGGCGAACTTGGAGGCCATCTTGGCCGTCTCGGAGGCCATCCTGGGCTATCTTGGACTACCTGGAGCAGGAACAACCTTTGCAAGCGGGTCTTCCGGGTGGCTGGGTCGTGGCCCCAAGGGAAGTTTTAAACGAACCAAAAACCTCCTGAACTTCAGCACGCCAGGCGCCCCTGTGATAAATCAGCAGGGCGCGGCGGATCGAAGACGCCTACGGCGAATCATCGCCACCCCTGGTTTTTTTTGGAAGCAGCTATGTGCCCGAAAGTTGGGCTAGAGCTATCGGACCATGTGTTCCCCCAGCTGTCGTTGAAATCTTTCGGGGACACGTGATGAAGAGGAGAATGAGGAGAAGAAGGAAGAGGGAGCAGGAGGTGGAGAAGGAGGAGGACGCCTCTTGGAAGCTTCTTGGGGCACTCTTGGGGGTCTCCTGGGAGCTTCCTGAAGGTTTCTCTTGGAGGCATCTTGGGGGCCTCCTTGGGGGCCTCCTTGGGCCTCTTGGGAGCCTTTGGGGACTTGTTCGGGGCCGCTTTGGTCGTCTTCGGGCGTTATTGACCCGTCTGACGCCGTGGGAAGCCGTCTTGGGTACGTCTCTGGGCCGTCTTGGGTCCCTCTTCGGGCGCTTCAGGGCCGTCTTGGAGGCCATCTTGGGTGTCTTCGATGCCTCTTGAGCCGCCTTGGGGCCGTCTTGGAGGCCTCTTGGGCCGTCCTGGGGCCATCTTGGAGGCTCTTGGAGCCATTTTGGGGCGATCTTGGGGGCCACTCTGATCGTCTGGGGCCGTCGGGAGGCCGAAAAGAAGCAAATGCCCAAATCTTTCAGACACCTACCAAAAACATGGCTGTGCGGGCACTCCAATGACAAGAGGCAAAGAGCCGGCCCCTGATGATAGAGGGGGCATGCCGCCGCTGCCAAATGCAAGGCGAACGGCATATGTACAAGTTGGTGGAGTAACAATTCCAGTGGAAGGCCCATCTACCGCCACCGCCTCCGTTGCGTCGACGGTAATGAGGCAGGTTGGCAGAGGCATTCAGAGGGAATGTAATAACAACGAGACTGGACATTGGGATGCGAACCAGCATTACTATGCTGGAACGGGGTGGTGGGTGTATAATCAGCAATGTAAGAGATGGCAACGCTGGAGCTTCGATGATTAGAATCGAAAGTTCAACTCTCCCTCGAGGGGACAAGGGACAGGAAAAGGATGGAAAGGTATTACATGCAATTTGGAACAAAAAATCTTGTCGACTGAGATAATCTGGCCGACTGCCGATGAGTGATGAGGGGCGTCCGATTCAATCGTTCGTTGCGATTCACTCGTTCGTTCCCTCGATAAGAATAGACATGACCACGACAATGTACGGGTTGACCGTGCACTGCTCGGCGGCTAAATTATGGAGAAGGTCGGGACTACTATCCAGACCTTGAATACCATGCTGAATTGGCGCACTGCATTATATGTAGGATGCGTCAGTCTGTTGCGGCCCGCTTCAAGGATTTGCCAGGAGTAGTTGCGATGCCGCTTCGTGCGCTGTAGAGTTATTTTTGGGTTTGGCGCCGGGGGGGACAATGTGCCTGGGGATTGCACAAAGTTTGGCAACTCCGAAGGAGCTGTTGTAAAGCCAACCTTTCCTGCCCGCTCTCGCCGCCGCCGCCTTTCCTCCGCTGGAACGTTGGCCGTGTATTGTTGGATCTGCGGGTCACCGCAGCTGTATTACAGGTAGCAGGAAACGCCCTCGCGCGCGTGCGTCCGCCCTCCGGCCAGCTGCACACATATCTGTAGATGTAGAGAGATATAATGCATTTGTGCATTATTGTTCCACGGACAATCATGAGAAGCTTTTTCAGCTACGAGCGTTCCCACCAGTGGGAGTGGATATCAACGTATTCTAACAAGACATGGTAACATACCATTCAACACCCTGAACATGCCAGAATAGAACTTGCTTGGTGCAAAGAACCGTCATGTGGCGGCACCTACTTGGTCTGATCCTTGGCACCATTGTGCTCATTATTCGTTGCCGGAGCACTGTTTATTTAAATGTGGTTTGCGATGTGGTGCGTTGTGTGTTCGGCGTTGATCCTGATCTGTTTGGCAATGCCATGCTAAGCAATGCACCGTATGCAATGCCGTATTATGGTATACCACGCTACGCTTTGCCATGCCATGCCATGCGACGCATAATCGATGATATGTTCTGCGATGTTTCACACAGCGAGAATACTCTGCAGTGCGGCACCTCCAGTGCAATGCATTGCTACGGCCTGCTGTACGATGGCAGCGCAATGCCATACCCTGAGACGCGATGCAGCCGCAGCGGTCTTTTCGGCCACAGGTGGCCATTGAAGGCAGCGAAACAACCCCTATATGACCAAACAGTGGTTCCCGAAGGTCCCCACATATCCTCATAACGAATCCATGAGATCCCCACACTCGGTTTGATAAGTGCCCAGCACGTAGCGCAAAACAACACGAGGAAGGCCCAACCATGGCATAGATATGGCCGGAGTTGCCTGCAAGTGCCTCAGAAAAATAGGCTCAACGCGGCCCAACCATGTCGAAACCAGCTGCCCACACTTAGGTTTAACATGCTGTCACATCAGCCAGGAGTGTCCATTTCACCCTCCCCCTTCGTCCGTTTTTCTCCTTTTCGCTCTCCTTATCATTGCCCCCACTTCACCCCCGCCCCATAATCTCCCAGCCGTACCTTCCTCCGCCCCTAGACGCAGGCACTGACGGAAGCTGCGCGGACATACGTGCAATGCGTCGGGGGTCTATCTTGGTTCGAAGCCCCAATGAAGACTCAGGGTTGGGCACCTTTGAGCTTTTTGTGGGGCCGCAGAAGAGCACATAAAATATGTGATGCGCACGTTGCGTACACATGCCTACAACGAGGCCGCGCGCCAGCGAAGGGTGTGCGCCAGCGCTAAGTTGGCGCGCGCCCTCCGCTGGCGAGCCATCACTTCCTCGTGCTTGCATTGGCAATGGTTAGTCACGCAGACATGTGAACCCTCTGAACACCAGCGTTCGTGCAAGAACCGAACGGACAAAAACCATACGATTTTATTGGGTCGCCTGGTGTGTCAGGGAAAAGCAGACAATGTGCGATGTGCGTGCGGCGCAAGTAAGATGTGAGACTCGCACTCGCAAGCGGAATAGACGCAGGCACATGCATCCGAGCATTGTACAGGAGGTCGCGTTCGCCGAATGTTCCCGTGGAAAGCATTTAGTTCTCTCGGACTTAGGCATTATATGTTCGTTGAATGCACATGCGTGCAATGATACCGCACGTTGGCATTGTTTCGCGGTTAAGTGTGGGGTTGCGTACACCCGATTAGGTATTTATGCGCACGGTCTCGCCACGAAGACCGAAATTGGCTCGACCCTCGAGTGAAACAGTCTACATGGCTACATAGTTCACTCGGGTGCCTAGAGGTGCTAAAATAGGGCTGTGCGTTATCCATGTGTCGCATGTTCATGCGCGCGCCATGCGCATCCGCACGCGCACGCGCAAGCACGCCCAACTGCTTTAGGCACGCGAGCGTTATCAGCGGCAGCAGCGTCGAGAAATCGTGAGTTACGCGCCAGCGGATGACGCGCGAAACAGGAGCAGCGTCCGACGCACATCTTGCTGTAGGACAAATCTAAGAATGCGCAGACAAATGAGTGATCAGGGCAGTCGTTGCCCAACCGTTGTCGGACATCATTGCCATATGCACCCCCAAATATTGTTAGGATTGCAGCCGGGCGGTCCCCAGGGGACATCAAAGGGAGCTACCTAGTTCCAAAATCGCAATGGAGCCCCCCAGCAGAAGCCGACACAACAATTTATTCAGAAACAGATATTCCAGATTACCTATACGACCACCCTTCGGGTGATAAGGAGGGGGTGGAACCAACATCTGACTCAATTGACCTCGCACCACGGGACACCACGGGACACTTGTCGATCTCACTATCGATCTCACCATCGATCTCACTCAACGGGACACCACGGGACACCACGGGCCACCATGGGCCACCGCGGGACACCTTTCGATAACACTATTGGTCTCGTATCGATCTCATTACGGATCCCAGTCAATGGGACACCATAGGACACCACGGGACACCTCGGGACACCACATCGATCTCA